GCAGTGGTGTGGAGAAAACCCTGTATGCTCAGTGATACTTTGATAAATGACAAGTTTATAGCTACATATTTAATGTAATATTTATATCTTATATTATTGTATGTGGGAGTGGGGGTACTGCACAGAGGATAGTCATCATGTGGCTCTCTTGGTTCATGGTAGTTGCAAATGTCATGAGCTGCTGAGAGAGTACTAGTGGTATTGAGTAATGGCTACCAAGCTGACAATTGAAAGCTGGATTTTTTCCATAGATCAAATTCATGGAACTATGAATTCCATGGAACTAATTCCATAGTTCTTTGTTTATTGGTGATTGAACATATTTTAACTCTACTTAATGGGGGATTTTGAACTTGAATTGTAACATCTTCCTCTGACGGAGTAAGAGAACTTATTTTCTCCATTATGGTAACCCTGAGGTCACTGCAGTTTTGTGTGCTGGAGAAACAGCTGACAGAAGATTTTTAAAGTAACTAAGCATAAGGAACATGATTAGCAGTCTCCATACCAGAGACACACTAAGCTGTAGTGTTTATATTATAGCAAATGGTCCAATTTAACTGGTGTCTTTTACTCTGGAGCATGTTTGGTTTTATAGGCAATCTCACTGAGTGACAGTCTCTTAATGAATTAAGCCAGAGTCCTTCCTGTCTTCCGCCGTCCTCTGAAGTTTGCTCAATTTCATGTTCGTTGCATCTATGGTGTTAATTTTCATTGTCAGTATTTGTCATAGCTGTAAAATCTCAATATTGTTGTTTTTTTAATTCTTTTCAGGAAAGTGAAGAAAGGATCTTTGTTAATCGACTCCAGTACTATTGATCCTGCAGTTTCAAAAGAGCTAGCCAAAGAAGCTGAAAAAATGGGAGCTGTTTTTATGGATGCTCCTGTTTCTGGTGGTAAGTCCTTGTTTAAACTGAGACTACTGTAACTGCTTTTTCACTTGTTTCCATTAGTGATTTATAGAAGGTTTCTTTTCTCAGGCTGGGCAAAGGGGTAGTCTGACATGCATTCCAAGCAGGGGTTGAGCACCTGAAATACTAGAAGTAGTACTTACATATGTTACTATTAGGGTTCATGTCCCATGTGCAGATTTCTTTGGTTAGAGCCTTCAAAACATTTCCACAAACCGGTGGAAGAAATCTCTGCCATTTCCCCTCTTATGCTGTTCCCGGGGGGATCCTTAGTCCCACAAGACTAGCATTTCAGGAGGCATTTTCAGCTGACAAGGGAGGTTCCCTCTGCTGATGAAAATCCCTGAGCACCCATTCCTTCCCTTGCTGTTTTGTGTCTCTCCCTGGCATGGGGTAGAGTACTTTTGTTCATCTCACCCTGAGCTATAAGTGTCATGCAGGGGAGAGAACAAGATGACAGTGTGGCAAGTAGAGGGTTCCCAAATACTTCCCCCTTAGAGGACCTGTTCTGAACCAACCAATCAGGCTGTCTTGGAACCTTTGTTTGGAACGCTCATGGCCTGACCTGAGAAGGCTCCTGAAATGAGTACCTTGAGCACCCCTTACTTCTGTCTCTGCCTTGCCTTCTCCACAGCATGAAGCAGAATGGGCTTCTGCAGCTTCCAGCAGGATCAAGCAAGCTGTTTCTGGAGAGATGGCAGGCCTGTCCTTCCCTGCAATCATACAGAGCCTGTGGAGCGCTTAGGTGGCCAGTAGTGTTATGAGCTTCATATGTTTTTAAAATCCCCACATATCAGCAAGTTGCATTGCTTAATCCTCAATTTGATGCAAATTTACTTAAAAGCAAGCTTACACTGGTAGACTCCATAAGGAATTTGGGGTCTGGCTGGACACGTTGCTTACCTTGGACAAACAAGCGTCCTTGGTGGCAAAATTGGCATTTTTCTATCTCCACCAGGCTCATCCACTGCCCCCCTATTTTTCCAAGTCAGTCACCTCTAGACTGGACTATTGCAATTCGCTCTACGCAGGGCTGCCCCTGAAGATGCTTTGGAAACCTCAGGTTATATAGAATGTGGCTGCTAGACTGTTGACCAATCATTCATGGTCTGTGCATATTCAGCCTATTTTGAAGCAGCTGTACTGGCTTCCAGTTGATTTTCGGATCCAGTTCAAAGTGCTGGTTTTAACCTTTAAAGCCCTAAACAGTCTGAGATCATCATACCTTTAGGACTATCTCCCCTGTTACAACCCAACCCCCCAAACATGTTGTTTCTGTCAAAGCTCAAATTCCTTTTGCGAAAATTCATTTAAATAAGGTCGGCCGTTTATTTATGATTGAGGCCTAGTAAGCAAAGTGTTGTTTGGGCATGGCGTTTAATTGGGGTTTCTTATATTTGGTCATACTGCGGTGAAATAAAATAGTTGGGGATTTTAAGAGACTTTCCAAATTCTTCTTTTCAGTTTACTAAAAGGCACAAGCATGCACGTACTGATCCTTTGTGTGAGAATTTTGGGGGGGCATAGTGGTGCACGTTTTTGTTTTTTCTTGAGAAAAACTGGATCCTGATATGTCAGTTCTCTTTTCAGGATTTAGAGGTGTACTAGTTACAAATTTAGGAGCTGCGGTGGCTCAAGTTTGTGATACTTTGATAAATGACAAGTTTATAGCTACATATTTAATGTAATATTTATATCTTATATTATTGTATGTGGGAGTGGGGGTACTGCACAGAGGATAGTCATCATGTGGCTCTCTTGGTTCATGGTAGTTGCAAATGTCATGAGCTGCTGAGAGAGTACTAGTGGTATTGAGTAATGGCTACCAAGCTGACAATTGAAAGCTGGATTTTTTCCATAGATCAAATTCATGGAACTATGAATTCCATGGAACTAATTCCATAGTTCTTTGTTTATTGGTGATTGAACATATTTTAACTCTACTTAATGGGGGATTTTGAACTTGAATTGTAACATCTTCCTCTGACGGAGTAAGAGAACTTATTTTCTCCATTATGGTAACCCTGAGGTCACTGCAGTTTTGTGTGCTGGAGAAACAGCTGACAGAAGATTTTTAAAGTAACTAAGCATAAGGAACATGATTAGCAGTCTCCATACCAGAGACACACTAAGCTGTAGTGTTTATATTATAGCAAATGGTCCAATTTAACTGGTGTCTTTTACTCTGGAGCATGTTTGGTTTTATAGGCAATCTCACTGAGTGACAGTCTCTTAATGAATTAAGCCAGAGTCCTAGTTGGAAGGTTCTAATGAAGACTGGCTTTGTTCCAACTGGGATTGCAGTAGCAAGAGTTGTACTGCCGAACAACAAAGGAATATAGAGGAAGCATGAATATCAGGCTAAAGTCTAAGACTGACTAAGACTGATGTAGAAATAAATGTGGTATGAGAAACCATGCAGGATACTGTTAGTGTATTGGCTCAGAAACAGGTCACTTACACACAGGTTGTTTGCTCTGGCTTGGATGTTGTCGGGAAGTGAAATTTTTCCTGCTTCCATGCACCTCCCAAGTTTTCCTGTTTTTCCTGTGATCTATCCCAAACCTGCTTTGCAACAATGTTTTGTGAAAGATTGTCCAAAAGCCAGGAGGACAGCTATATGGATGGGAAGTCCTGGTACTGCCCATATCAGTGCCCTTTTCTGTGCCCCAGTCTCCTGTGGGAGCCCTTTCCTTGTCTGCCCCCTGAGGGGGTTGTGTGTTTTTTAATCAACATATTGTAACCATGTGTGTTTATTAGGTTCTCTGAAATCTCAGCTTTCACTTTAAAAAAATTTCTAGCCCTCTGTATTTGAAGAAATGTAAAGGGAAATACACACCTCCCCTATGTAAGGGGCTAGACTTTAAAAAAACAACCACACTGAAACCTAGGAATTCAGAGCGGGATAGACACATTGTTCCAACATTATAAAACATGATATATCAGTTGTTGGTTTAAAAAAAAAAATCTCACAACAGGGCAAGGGAAATGGCCCCTGTAAGGGACTGAAGATGCAGGGAAACCTGCCATGTGGAGCAGTTGCACTGTACTGGCAGCTCTAGGAGCAACCCCGTCCCATGTGGAAAACACAAGGGTATTATACTTGCAGTGAAGCAAATGTGCTGCACAGATAGACGGTTTGTAAGCAGAACTTTGACTAACCCTTCAACAAGATAGGATAGCAAACTAAGCCATATTGTGCCTTAAATAGAACTGTAGAGAGAAAACCAGGTCCTTTGTCCTGAATTTTCCCAGAGCACGGCACTCTAAAAATGTAAATGAATAAAGAAGTCTGTCAGTACAGTCCTTGCAAAATTCAAGGGCTATCAGCCCTTGTGAAAATATGTGAAAGCAGCTGAAAAGGCCAAAAGATCCATGTCCGCACCTTACTTGCCACTGGGTCTTTTCATTTTCCATTACCCTCCCTATCAAAACTTTTATATAAGCAGAGAGCCTCGGCAGTGAAATGTAGTTTGCTGCTCTCCACGTTGCCTGGCCAAAGTTGCCCCTTCTGTTGCATCTTGCCTATATATGCCTGAGGGAAACTGGAATATGTTAAGTCATTTATTGATGCTGTAGTGACAAGTGTAAACTGAGAATGAAGAAAGTGAGTCCTATGTGCTCTCAGTAGGCATAAGAGTCTCTTTGTACACACTGTTGTCACTAGTGTGGCATTTGCAGCAGTTGCTTGTGTCAAACTGAAGTGTCCTTTATAGATTGTGGAGTGTGTGCGCCTGTGTGCATTTTTTTTTCCTTAATGGAGAAAATAACACAAGTTGAATGGAACCATTTTTGCTCATTTGTGTAAATGATTCCTAGAAGATTGAAACAGTAGGCGCTGGAGCTTGTTAAAAACTTTATTTTACAAGCTCTGAAGAATTCAGAAAATGACTTGGCTACTAACTTTTTTTTTCTTAATCCAAACCCTCTTATAGGCTTCATTTCAGAGTCAGCATCAAGTCTGTGCTGTGCTTGTCTTTAAAATACAAACATGCACTCTTGCTCTTTCTGCATACTGAATCAGAACCCTACTGTTTCCACTAGCACTGTGTCTAATTTATGATGTGACCACAAAAACTAAAATTATTTATATGTTGGCACAAAACAGCACCACTGTAGTTAAGAGTCTGTTGGCATTTCCATTATAAATCCTCCCTTGGAGAAGTTTATAACTTGGCATTTTTACTTTGCTTCAGGCTGAAACATGTTGTTTCTGTCAAAGCTCAAATTCCTTTTGCGAAAATTCATTTAAATAAGGTCGGCCGTTTATTTATGATTGAGGCCTAGTAAGCAAAGTGTTGTTTGGGCATGGCGTTTAATTGGGGTTTCTTATATTTGGTCATACTGCGGTGACAAATTGTTTTGTAGGCACAGGTTAGAGTGCTGATTCTTATGTTTAAAGCCTTGTACAATCTGAGACCAGGGTATCTGAAGAAATCCCTGCTCCCATATTAATGTGTTCTAATAAGGCTGTCTTCAGAAACCCTGGTCTCTAGGTCCCCCTGACTTTGGCAGTGAGGCAGGTGTCTCCAAGTGACAGGGCATTCTCTGTGATGACACCTCACCTACGGAATTCTCCAGCACCATCCATTTGCTAGCCACTCTGGTGAACTTGCAGGTTCATGTGGATTTTTTTTTTTAATTTACACAGGCTTTTAGTAAAGGTAAAAGTCAAGGTTCCCTTGCTCTAAAGCCAGTCGAATCCGACTCTAGGGTTGCGGTGCTCATCTCCGTTTCAAAGCCGAAGAGCCAGCGCTGTCCGAAGACGTTTCCATGGTCATGTGGCCGGCATGACTAAACACCAAGGCACACGGAACGCTGTTACCTTCCCACCGAAGTGGTACCTATTTATCTACTTGCAATTTCTTGCTTTCGAACTGCTAGGTTGGCAGGAGCTGGAACTAGAGATGGGAGCTCACTCCATCATGCGGCACCCAGGTTTTTAGTGACACCTAAAATTCTTTTTGCCCTGACCTGGGTAAGAG